TACTTCTTCACCATTCTTTTAATTAATCCTTCAGAAATGCAACAAGAATATAGCTCGTATATAATAATGATATGTGTCGCGGTCTGTCTTAATCTTTCGATTTTTTCTATCATTGACCATGAAGAGTAGAGCGAGATTGAGTGCAATATTTTATTTTATATACTTCTACACTTTGTTGAGATCTTGTTTCATAAAATACTAAAAGTAATGTCGAACATGTCATTATTAATTTACCTTAAATGACAAATTTCGATATTCTACTCACTATCATAATGAAAACTTATAAATCTTGTATAAATTAACATCAAATAAAACGTTAATAAATATCTGAAAATTCAACAAAAAAAAAAAAAAGAAAAATTTTATTTGTACATTTTTTATTCATCTCTATAGTTCACATGAGAAATATATTGTTTTTTTTTCCATAATGACTATATGATGTACTTTGATATGTAATAATGTCAGTCAATTTATTTTTGATTTGTTTGCTCCTTTTTTTTTTGTTTTTAAGAATTAGTTTTAGTTTATAGAATTCAATATTTTTCAAAGGAGCAGATGATTAAACAACATGATTAATTGTTGGACTAACAATGGATTTAGTTTGATAGGTAGTTCGTTCAGTAATATGAACATTACAAGATGTTTGAATTGTTGCAAAATTAGGTGATGTAATATCTTGTGAAGGTGATATAGAATTATATTGGACTACCGATTTAATCGGTGATTTTAATAATGAAGTAGAATTAGTAGAAGTATTTGAATTTCTTTTACTAATAATTGGAGATGATGGTGATTTCGATGATTGTGATGGTGAAATAGATTGAGATCGAATTGCATCTTGTTCAATAGCTTGTATAGGTGATACTGATGATGATCTAGTTAATTGATCCATTTCACTAAGAAATTGTGTAAAAATACCAATAGGTAAACGTAAACCATCATATTGTGAAGTTAATTCTTCATTTAATTGATTATATAAACGAGTTGGTGATGTTTGACACATTTGATAGAATTTAATTAAACCACAACCTGTCATAAATTCACATAATGGCATCATATTATGAAGATTTGAATCATATAAAAAATCTAATACATCTTTTTTTGTCCATTGTTTAATTGAAATTGATGAATAAGTCGATTTTTTTGTATCACGTTTAAAATATTTATTAGGTAACTTTGATTTTTCCATTGATTCATTTATTTTTAATGTTGTTGAATTATTTTTATCAGATAATTTTGATTCTATTAAATTAGAATGATTTTCATGTAGACTATGATTACCAATTGTATTATTATTCAATTGACTTTCTCTTTGTAATGTTATTTCTTTTAAAAGTAATGTACATGCTTTAGTAAATTCTAATCGACCAAAATCTACATAAATTCGACTACCAATTAATAAACCTAACCATCCATCAGCACGATAACCTTGTCGTACAATAATTGGTAATAAACGTCGTTTACAACGAAATGCATATTCAGCTTCAGCTTGACAATAAACACTACGTTTATAAGAATCTGACATACATATAATAACAAATTCAGAATTTTCTACAGCATTAGCCATAGCTTCCATTGCTAAAATTGATTAAAAAAAAAGAAAATGATTATTTGTAATGAAAAAACAAAAAAAATTTACCTGGTCCGTACATATTATCACGATCAACCCAAATTTTAAAACCTTTATCAATAAGAAATTTATGAATTTTATTAACAAGTTGTTGATCAGCATGACAATAAGATATCATTATATCATATAAATATTCTTCAACTTTAGATTTATCTTGTTCTTCTGGTTTATCAATTGAATCAATACTTTTTTTAATTATTTTTTCTTTTTGTTGAGCAACTTTTTCAGATTCTATATACTAAATTAGATAACATTTCTTTTTTTAAAATTCTTTTTATATTTACCTGTAAAAAGATTCCAAATAATTTTTTCTGCTGCTTTTTTAATTCCATCATCAGATGATTTTTGCATATTTTCAATTGAATTAATAAATTGTATATTATCACGTAATCTTCCTGCTGCTTCTTCATCAAATGTTATTGAACCAATAGATTCAAGTAATAAACGTTTTAATCGATCATTAAAATGTTGATAATTATTAATTAATAATGATAATGCATTTTGTTTTAATATTTCACTTTTTATTTGATCATGTTGAAGAAGAACTTTTTTTTTTCAAAAAAAACATAATATAAAAAAATAAAATAAAATTGATTTTTATTTTTTTCTTACCATGAATACTTTCAACAAGTAAAGAAATATTACGTTCAATAAATTCATTATGTTGTTTTCTTTTTGATAATGATTTAATATTTTTTCTTAATAAATCAAATATATTTGAAAGTAAACGACCAGTATCTTTTTCTGATGATTTTATATCATCTTCTTCTAATATATAAGCAAGCATCATATAAGCATAAATAACAATAGATTCATTCGATGATGATACTAATGAATTAAATAATGATATTTTTTTAAGTTGTTTTATATATGCAAGTAAATCAGGTTCATGAACAAATGTAGTAAGTGTAAAAAGAGCTGAATTAATTAATATTGTTTCAGATGTTGTTCCTTTTTCATTGACTTTTTTTAATAGACAAGGTTCACTGATTATACGAATAATATCATCGATAAGCCATTGTAATGGTTGACCATTAGCATATGGTGTATAATAACCTTTAGCATGAGTAATAGTTAATAAAACATGATGAACAATATGAATCATTGAAGATTTCCATTGTTTTATTGATTGAATATGTTTATCAAGTATAGATGCATAACGTGGTACCATAGTATCTAATAATTGTTCAATAACTTCATTTGAATATGAACCTTGCAAAAGAAAAAAAAGATAAAAGAAAAATGATTAAAAGAATAATTTTCTTACCATGATAAATAGTAAAAAACGATGGACATTGAATAAGAAAAAAATTTTGTTTAATTGTCATTGATTGAATATTTGTTTTGAATTTTCTAAATTCACGATCATAATTTGATGAAATAAGACAATCCATTGTTGCTTCAAATAATCGATAAAATTCATTTTCATATTGTAATTTTGATGGTAATCGTCGATAAACTTTACTAAACATATTAAAAAGATTTGAAAGTTGTTCAAAAATTTTATTTTCTTTATCAAAATAAAGTAATCGATCAATATCATTCATACATTTAGCTAATGTATTAATAAATGATCGATCAAGTAACCATGATGTAAGTTTTGTTATATCTTTAACAGAATTAATAAGACGATAAAAAAATATAATACAATTACGCAAAAGATATATTTCTTCTTGAGTTAATATATAAGAAGAATACCAATCGAGTAAAATATCTCGAATAATATTTCGTATAGAAATATAAAATCTATGTGATGTAATATTAGTTAATATAAATGAAGGAATACTATTTAATATATTAATTGTTTCATTCATTTTATTTACATAATTTGTTTGACGTTTAGATGTATATTTTAAATTACGAATTGAATAATTCAATAGATCTTCTAATTCTCGTTTATATGATTTTGAATAAATAGATTTTGATCTTAAAAGACCATTATTAATAGTTGTTCGTTCTTTTATCAATGATGATTGCATCGTATAATATATATTATGATGATTTATAAATCGTTGTATGTTATCAATGTATTATCGTTTATTATACGAAAAAAAAACGAATCAAAACTTATAATATATATTGTTGTTTTGTCAATGCATTGAATATTTATTTATTTGTTATATAGTCATGTCTATATCGAATAATAAGTAAACATGAATAATTTTTTTTTTCGTCCACTGTACAAGATCAACCATATTTTTGATGACAATTTTTGTTCTTTCCTTCAAATGATAGAACAAATTATTCTATGAGTCACTATATAATTAAACTCATGTATCGTTTGTAGGAGAGGTTAGTAGGTTCGACAGAGTTACGAAAAAGAAAATGCTATTGCGTTAAGTTTTATGTATATATAGAAAAATTATATTAATTTCGATTGATGAATATTCATAACTATATAAATATATCTTTTGAAGAAAAAAAAAAAGAAGAAAACCTTGATCAAAGTACGTCATCATATAGATACACGTAACATATGTTTTTTTTTTATAGACATTTAAATTTTTGTGTTTTCTACATTTAATATAGTTTGTAATAAGAAAATTTATCATGAAAAAAAATAAAAACAGAAATCATTTGTCTTAGTTTATCATTTAAGGGAAGATCTATGTAATCATTTTCTTTGTACATCTTATTGAACAAATGTAATCTTAATTATTTGTTTTTTTAATAATTCTGACACGTGAATGATATATTTACTGTCAAGTTTAATTGCAATATTTTATATATCACATCATTATATACTTCACATTAGTAGATAAAATCTAAATTGATTGTATTTCTGTCTATAGAACGTCGCTATACTGGAGTGTTTACGCTGTTCGACACATGGCCACAGAGTCACATGTTCAAACCTGGGTATTACCAGTCATGAAATAACCATTGTCTGTCACGGATGATCTCTCTGATAGTATGCTGATTACGTTGCGACATATACTTGCTTTTCTGAATTAGTCAGTATCTATGAAGAGCTTATTGGATCTACTACAGAGTCACATGAAATACCGTAAGATAGCTGAATATTCTTTCTTTATTTTTATAATAATTATTAAATGATAGTGAATATTTTTCTATTTTTGTTCATGTAAATAGCGAAACATTTTGTTTTTTTTCCTTAATAATTAATATTATTTCATCATAGAATACCGTGTTTTTTTTATAACTATTGAGAGATTGCTATTCTTCGCTTTGAAGTCTCAGTAGTTTTATTCTTTTGTTTCGGTATGGGTATTTTTTTATCTGTAAAAAAAACATAAGCAGTTTAAAATTAATTTTTGTTAACATGAAAAGGAAAATAAATACATTTTATAAGATTTATCTCAATCACTTATTTTATAAATTTCAAAAGAATAAAAAAGCAAAATATTATTTAAGAATCATAATCATCTGAAACTTTATGAAATCGTACAAGTAATCCATAGGCAACAAGTGATGCTCTTATTTCAGTAAAATATTCAACTTTTTCATTAGATGCAAATTGACAAATACGTTTTGTCTTAGCTCCAACAGTTTCACCTTGTATTGTAAACGACCTTGGTTTTTGTCGACATTGTAAAACAATTTGAACTTCATAAGTACGTTTAGTTCTTAATGAATGAAATTGAGTTTTTGGACTGTAAACTGGTAAACTTGAATATGCGATCGTCGGTGATGTATAAATATGTTTTTTATTTGGAATATGTCCTGGACGAATACCCAATACAGTTCCATCAATGAGTGTATCTCCGGGTAAGCAAAATTGACGATTCGTAAGAATAGAATGTGCAGCTACGATAGTCGTTCCATGAAAAGTTACAATCCATTTATCCCAAATAGCATAATGTTCTTCAGTAACTGGATCAACATGAAGACCTATACGTACCCATCCACGAGGAATAACGTATTCAGCATTACCCGCTTCTATTACACTTGGCAATTCCGAAGGATAACAATTCTTACAATAGCATGCATCGAAAAAAGGATCAAATCGCTTATTAACCCAACGAAGAGATGCAACAAATTCTTTTGCTAGTTTCATTTGACTACATTTGTAATTAACTTTTCGTCGTAATGGTCTATTATTTGAAGATGCCTACGGAATTGTTGGCTTTAGTTCTATTTCGTCTTTGTAGGATATTTCAGAATGTGATCGTTTTTCTTGATAAACAATAAGATAAGAATTATCAGAAACGATTTACTCTAAGACAATGACTAGTTATTTTATAATTAAATGCTATGATTGTTTCTTAAACTGTCAATTCTTTCTTTCATATAACTACAAAAATCTAACTTAAAAGGTTCTATTAAAATGTATGTTGCAAATAAAATTACATGATATCTAAATTAGCATTTGTTCAAATGAAATACTTACCTTTTAAACCACGAGATTTCTTTCGTTCTCGTCGTGGACACCAGTAGCAAATAACAATCAATATTATAACGAAAACAACTGTACTACCTACTATTGCTATTAGCATTGGTAGATGTTCTGTAAAAAAACTTGAAGCAGCACTTGGTGTTGATGATGCTAGAATAAAGTACAACAGTAGTGTGTCAGATTATGTCTAAAAGTGCTGAAGTCACATGAAATAGGTTTCTCCGAACTACAAAAAGAAAACACAGACTTTGACAATTTCTATATACTATAAATGGATTTGAATTCCTCATCGGTAAGTCTCAGATCTACATGTTTCTCTAACGATTTTTCAACTGTTACATTTAAAAACAATAACAAGTATCTATCAATTTCTTATACTATATAAAATAAACAAAAGATACTTATTGAAGTTGTTGAACGCCATGATGTTGAATTATCTGTATCGGTTGAATTCTGTGATTCAACGGTCACTAATAATGTTTGTATTGATGAATTGGGTGGCGAGTCTCAATAAAAAAAATAAAAATAAAAATGAATCTTTCTTAGAAAAGTTATATTCAACAATATAGTTGACTCGTTGTTTTTCAAAAAGTTTTTTTTTTTTTACTGAACTTATACCCATTAATATTCTTAAATAGCTCAATAAGTTAGTAATAATCATTATATCATACTATCAATCTTAATATGATCTTGTATTGTTGCTGCATTTTTATCCCATTCTAATGAATCACGATAATGAATAGAAATGGTATTTGAATATATAACTAATATATACTATACAATATATAAGAAAAAGATTTCATTTGTTTCACATCTAAGTAAAAAATGAATGAATTCAAAACATGATATTTTATGTGAATGTATTTAATAGACAAATAAATTTTCATTTTAAATGATATTCTTATATTTATACTTTGTTGAATAAATTATTATAGATTTTTAATTTATCAATCAACTTAACATTATAATAATGTAGAGAAAAAGTTAAAATTTCTTTCTATTTGAAGACTTACTCATCAGAGAAAAAATGTTATTGACTAACTACTTACATAACTGATCATTAAATTTTTTGTTGTCTCGTAACTACAAGTTTGTTTTTGATACATCTATATCATCTTATTTATCTACGTGTTCTTTGTCTAACCTATCTTTATTTATATGTATCTCTACCTATGAAATAGATAAGATTTATTATAATGTCCTTCATTTATTTGGTTTTTATCTGTCTAGTACGTTTTACTTAACATCTGCACAGAAACTATACTAAAAGCAATAAATCTATTTTGAAATTCAGTTCATGAATAATTGTGTTAAATTGTTACATGAACAATAAAAAATTCAGAATATGTATCGCTCTATAGACATAATTATTAAGTGATTTCCACGAAATTTAATCAATAAAACGTTGAAATATTAATCAACTCATGGATAATGATGTTGATGATTTTTCAAAATTATAACTTGATTAATTTTGTCTAAAAAAAACACTAGAAAATGTTATGTCTGTTGTTCTCGATTGCTCAAGTCTGTAATGGCGATCTGGGTTGTTAAGTATCTATCATGGGAACGGGTTACTTACATTTGATATGATCATTGATCAACAAGCATGTAATTTAATGAATAGTGACAATTTCATTTGGATACTCCTTTGATTCACAAACAAAATTGATAAAATCTGCTGTTTTTCGAATAAATATATCGGATACTGCCTGAATGATTTATTTTCCTCCAATATTAAAACGTCTATAGAAATGATATATAATTTACAATGAAAGTATTTGAATCTTATACATTAAATTGCTAGTTCAACAAGTTTTGATAGTTGTCATTGTTCCATAAATTCTTAACATTTAATTATTGATTCTCGAATACGAGCTATTCATTGTTTCTAAAAGAAACGTTCGATCCTGATATACAACGCTTCTCAACGATCAATCATCTTTCTAGTTGTAGAATAAAAACTATAATATTTAAAGAGAAGTGTTTTCATTTGAGCTTCTTGAAATAAGTCAATTTATATAAACTTTCACAGCATTTTTTACTTTTTTAAAACTAAAGACAAAACCATGTAGAACAAAAGAAAACTTCGAAAATTGCACCGATTTATATCAGTAGGTGAAGATCGTCTGTTCAATTCAGGCGTATGTCAACATCCACCAGCAGCCACACCCACCTCCTCAATTAGATGAAAGAAAAGAAGATAAAATAAAAATCTAAGTAAAAAGTGCAATACTAGAATACTATTAAATTGGCTCGATAATTAATAAAACTAATAGTGAAAACAATCATAAAATATGAATTTTATATATGGCATTAAAATGATTGTTTTGAATTAAATAACAAGGCTTAAAATAAGCAATCATTTTAATGCTTTACACAAAACTCATTTTTTGGGCATTTATTGTGATGAAAAATAAAATTCACTCGAATTATGCTTTTCTAGCGTCGTATATCCAAACCTAGACAACTAACCCCTTTTCACAGCATATCTTTCAATCGAAACAAATGGATAGATCAATATTTGTTTGTCATGACATTTGTCCAAGTTGTGAAATAAACTGAATCAACTCTGCAATTTTCTTGAGTGATGTACTGTTTATTCATCGTGATATTAACATTTTTTTTGAAAATCATACTATGTTATTGCATATAAACTATCATGCATCCTAATGCAATTAGAAAAAAAACAAATGTTAGTAGAAACAAGAATCACTCATGCATTTTTGGAGGCTCTCAACAAAATAAAGAATGTAAAATATCTATGAAAGAAAAAAATCAAATACTAAAAGTTTCACTAATGAAAATACTTTTTCTACAAGTTGATCTCTTTTTTGATTATAAAACAGAGACCCTCCCTATAATAAAAATATTTAACCAGGCCTCATATGAATAGGTGAGTTGAAGCAACGATGCTTTTCCTTTGAATTGTTTGAGTTAGCTTCTTTTATAAATCATCACTATAACTTCTTTAAGCATTCAATTCTCATAAATTTCTAAGGCGAAAATTTCTTCAGTCTGAACTAGCTCTTCGTTTGTTCTCGAATGTTGGTAAACAGGATTACATTATTTATACATTAAGCTATGGTATCAAACAAGGTGATCTTGATTTGTTCCATTGCAATTCCTTTGGTTGCCGCAGTAGTTGTTGTTTCAGCCGTTCTTTTGATTAAGAACGATCATGCAAGAAATACAACAGGTATTGTTTCATCAATAAAAAGAGAAGATCGACTGATGGTTTATGTCAGAAGAAACGATAGAAATGAAAATAATCCAATTAGTTCGTTCTTATTAAAAGTTAATCAATGAATCTGTCAGCATCTAACAATAGAACTATTCATCGAGAATTCCAATATGAAACAAAAGCTACTCACTCATTCTCTAAGAGACATATAACAGATTTGTTTCTATCTAGAAAAATTCCAGGTTGTATTGAAATTGAGACGATGAATTTGATTATCACTCAGCGTATAGAGATTTCCTTTACAAACTTTCTAATTTTATGTGATTTTTTTCTAACTTCCTTGAGTTATAACATATTCTGCAATGCTCTCTAATTTGTCAACACAAATTAGAGTTTAGAACTAAATATTTTCACGATCATAATCTACGTCCAAAGCAAAAACCTACACAAAAGTTTCACAAAATTCATTTTGTTTTAGTAATCAAGCTTTGAGTAGAAACATATAAATTTTCCTCCTTTTTTTCATTCTTGTTAAGACCGAGTTTGAGTTGAAGCATTTTCTGACAACTACATCCCCATTGGAATGTGTGCTGCATTTTTCTGGTGCAAGTATTGCAGTGATAAACTTTTTTATTAATGTGAGAAAATACATAGTACCAATTGGGTCTCGCTCAGTCATTGTACTTGTTACATTCACTCGTGGTGCTCCTACATGAAACGATGGATCCATCGATAATATCGCTTTTGTCTTATATCGCTGAACAGGTTATAGATAAACACTGATGAAACTAATATATTTTGATATATAGTTGAAAGATATTTAATCAAATTCATGCCTGAAAATATAGTTCTATTAATTTTACAATATATAACTAACTTTCTAGCAACTAATATTGCTATCTGTCATATGAATCACATTATGTTGCCAATATGTTTCGTATTAGTTGTTATTAATTTTAAACTACTCATAGAGGTTCTGCATAACAAGTTTACACAGGTATAAAAACAAAAATAATCATAATTTCGAAAAAAAAAGAAAATTAACTAGAGAGAAATAACGGATTGGAGTCACAATGATAACAGAAAAGTAATGACAAGACTATCAGATTTTTCAAACAAATTCTATTTAAACAAAATTGACTAGTATACGGTCAAACAATATATTAATTTTCTAATTCTGAGAATCAGTATTCATTCTTAATTATTTTTCATGAGTTTGTTTTATAATTTAACACAACTCATTTCTACATGCCTGGAGTCCATTCAGGGATCAAAAAAAAAATTTCTGCATTCGCTTTATTGAAAGTACTACTTGTTCAATAGCATAGACAGTGCGGTGTCTAAAACATCATATTGATTTTGAATACTAGCTAGCTGATTAACCAAGTATCTAATGTATGTTTGATGCCATTCAATATTTTGATGGAAATAATCATGTTTCATCATCAATATTGCTTCTATAACTCTTAAAGGATCATTT